GTTAAGTTAAGAATATATTAAAGTTTTTTAGCTCAGATATTAATTGTATTATAGCATTATTATTATTGAAACAGTGGAAGAATAGGTGGTTCAAGTCTGCAATACTTGAATTGTCGCAAGGACAGTAGGGATTCTCTAAAATTCCTATTTTGTTCAGATGATGAGGAAAGCGTCCGTGATTTAGTTTAAGTCGCGTTATAATGGTAGAAATATGTCCAGAAGTAGAGAAATAGAGGTTTGGAATATCTTTTGGGAGGGTAGGATGTATTAAAAAGTAATGGTTTTTTGATCTGCTAACAAACTCATTATATAAAGCCGACCATTTGTCCCTAATGTCCTTATTTATTTTTAAATTATATTATTTAAACAGTTTATATCTACGAAATATCGCCATAAAATAACTTAAAAACATTTAAATAATCAACTAATAATATTTATGTGTAATTACATTCCCAAAAATATATATAAATACCGTATTAATGTTCAACAAGCGATTTACCTACAAATTCAATATTGACCTGGCAATACCACTTAAATCTCGAGTTTCAAGGCTATATGACGCTGCCCGTACAGGACCGTTTGTGATATTTTGGATTTAATTTGTAGTTTATTATTTAATTACACGGTGAAAGTGGCATTTTATTTTTAGTTTAGTTAAGTTTAGTTAAATCCTAGGTACAATAAAATACATTTTTACTTTGGCTAATGAAAATGTAATCAATGTATTTAGCAGCTGTAATATTTATTACAAGAATTATGTCTGGAAATACCTAAGAATTATAATTATGTAAATAGAGAGCTGTATATTTATATTTAGAAAGTTTTATAAATAAACTGTAGAAATATCGACAATCTCGATTTTGAATCGGAGTATTCTATGCAATTTAGAATGAAAGCTAATTAAAATGAAACACATGAACGACACGCTAATGTTATTGACCACTTTCTTCAAACGTTTTCTAGTTTTCCGAAAACTAACTGGATAGTTCGAAAATCATTTCCGTTGTTAAAGCGCCTCTTGTTCCAAAAAAGTTACACGCCTGTCAACATTCATCGTTCAATAAAAAAACTGTTAGATACAAAACGCTTCGTATTGTAAGGCCAAAATATACAGGGTGTTTCTTAATTCATGCGACAAAATTCAGGAGGTGATTCCTCGTATTAAATTAAGACGGGTCTTTCCTATAACAAAATTTCCTCAGCCCACCCCTTTCCGAGATATCACCCTTAAGAGGTGGTGACTAAAATGGAGTTTTTATTTTTTTTTTCTAAAATTTCAGTAATGTACTTTGGCTATAGGTGGTCATTTCCAGCATTTATTATGAATCGTATTACATTTTACATCGTTACTGTTTTCCACTCAATTTATTAAAAAAATTATAAATTATGGTGTTTATTTTTTTTCTTTTCAGCTATTGGTTTTGGGAAAAAAATTTAAGAATAAATTTTTTTTTTAATAAAACAAATATTTCAAGTTATAATTTTATTTCATATAACTTCATCTCGAAAAAAGTTTTGATATGAAATAAAGTAAGGGTTGCTAATTTCACCCCCCTATAATGTAACAGGAATATTGAAAAAATACCCGTGGTTAGTTCTTTGCGAGTGCACGAAAATTACAAAATTTGAAGTGTCTAGCTTATCTGAAATTTTATAAAAAAAATAAAAACTCCATTTTAAACACCACCTTTTAAGGGTGATATCTCGGAAAGGGGTGGGCTGAGGAAATTTTGTTATAGGAAAGACCCATCTTAATTTCATACGAGCAATCACAATTTTGTCGCATGAATTTAGAAACACCCTGTATTTAGAAATCAAAAGAGTTATATAAACAAAAAAAATCATTATAAGTGAGATAACTACTAAATGAATGATTTATAAGTTTATTCTTGTTATCTATAAAATAGGTTTGCAATGTGCTAATGTGGAATATGTGGAACATGAAAGGTTTTCTGTCTAATAAGTAACGACTCATAGTCTCAGTTGATAAAATGTAAAAAATATCGAACATAATATTCCTGGGCGAAACGCAACTGCCCCCTATTTTGCACTCCCCAGATTGAAACTTGTAGTAAATGATACTAAATGAAATAAGATGTCAGGTCACAAGCAAAATCTCGTAACTATGGCACTAATGATTGCCGAAAATTAACTAATTCATATTTTATGCCATATCTTTCTTAATAAGGACTTTCAGAACCATATTGATTTTATTTGAATTTTGTTCAACGTTTTTTATATAGAATCGTCTCTAAAATGTATGACTTCCAACCTGAAACATCGTGTGAACTATTTGCTCGATCAATAAAAAACTTGCACCGATCCTGTCCGAGCCAGCACCGTTATGCGCATGAGCTTCGACACACCATTTTCTCCTTATGGTTTCATTTTTGATATATGGAATTGGCTTACTATACTATTTCTATGTTCTGTAGGGACCTGACTAATTTTGTTCGGCGCCTCCCGGTCTAAAACAATGACTAATTTTCAGACTGTTGCAAGTGCAATATGGAGACATTTATAGATTGTTATGCGATGCATTGAATTAGTAATAAAATTAGCTTTCAAATGAAGTATCACACTTTTCATTACATAACATTTTTTTATCAAGTTAGACGGCGCTAAAATCAACAGGAACGCAATAAATGGTCTTATTACCGAATTCTCAAGGGTAATATCAAAAGAGGTGAGAATTTTTGGAGAACATTTTATTGTTTATTTGGAAATTATGCGTCTAAAGTTCACGAATCAAAAAGCTCCTTAAAATACCACAAGACGTCAGTTAGGAATTTGTAGAGTGAAATTTGCATAATTTGTAAGGAAACATCAAATGTTCTTAAAAAAAATTTTTACCTTGCGTGGTGTTTGAAAAGATTATTTAACATAAAAAAAACATTTATAAACAACATTTACTTTGTTTCTATAAGACGATGTCGATTCTGTATTTAAAATGTATATATAAACGATTTTTGTCAATTTTTCGTCACCTTTTTGACAAACTTCACATTGACGTTTTGTATAAATTAGTGATGCATTAGTCTGATAATGAATTGATTTTTTAAATCAAACCTTTTTGATAAACTTCACATCGACGTTTCGCATAAAGCTTTGATGCATTAAATCGATTTATAAACTTGCAGTTTCTGTCGCTGTTACCGTTTGTTTGACGTTCCAGTCTCCGTTGAACTTAAAACCTTGTTATGTTTGAATTTGCAACAGCGAACGGTGAAATCAACACAGAATATAAGTGCGCTAAAATGAAAGTAGCTTTTAGGTCGATTTATAAACTTGCAGTTTCCGTCACTATTACCGTTTCTATTCCGTTTCTGTTTGACGTCGCAGTCGCCGTTGATATTCATAATTTATAAAGCTGACGTTCGGCGCCGTTGGAAACAAGAAGCTGACTTTTACCCAGATTTTCATGCGATTTTCATTTTCAATTTTCATTAAGTGTCTATTTTGATTCAGTTGAGATATCTATTTAGGCATTCTTGGAATACTTTTGTGTTCGTTTACTTTACATAAAATTAAGCAAAGAACATATACGGCGTTTTAAGGTACGTCCCATTAACCAAATAATGAAATAATTAGGAACTTTCCAATATTATTCAGGCATTTGATTGGTTAATATGCGAACGGCAAGAACGGTGAACTGCAGAACTTAAAAGTTTATGTTTGAGCGTCAGGGAACGTCAAGTGCAACAGCGAACGGTGACAGCAACAGAGAGTATAACTTCCAACGGGAACTGCAACTGCGAGCGATAACTGCAACTGCCAGTTTATAAATCGGTCTTTACTCTGTTAGTATGCAGTGTTTTCAGATACAGTTTGTGTTGATTGGCGTCTGTTGGAATAAAAGATTATAAATGTATTATATCGTTAAATAATCCATCAAATTACATTTTCTCTGATGTGTCATTTAGGGTACTTTCCCTATTTAAATTGTAGGGGTTGTTCACCCCACTGCTAGAGGGTTGATGTGACGATGCTGCATTAAGAAAAAAAGTGTCCCCTTCCAAACTAAAATCGACTTGTCCGAGCGTTCTTTAACATCCACGATATTAATACCTAAAACGCCCATGTCAAGTTTCCGTTGGGCTACCTTGAACGTTCGAGCACTAACCACTATATGTTCGGCCTTTTTATAATAATTTTATTTCCATTATATATTAGGAAACTTAAGGTTGAAGAAGAACATCTATTTTTTTAAAAATTACTTAAATTTAATAGTTGTTGATGTTTCTACTATTTGTGCATGACGTACCATGATCTTAATTTTTTAAAAAACAGTATCTAATCGAAAGATAAATGACCATTTAAATGTTCGAGCAGTATCCTCCGCAATTATTAAATTTAATGTTTGGGAGGCTTTGGAATTTTGGACGTTTAGAATTTTTTGCGTGTTTGACGCACATAATAAACACTAATTTATTTTGTTGGCTTTGGAATTTTTGACGTTTAGAATTTTTTACGTGTTTGACGCACATAATGAAACACTAACTTATTTTGTGGTTTGACGTTTTAAGTTGTTGAAAGTGTGATGGTATCTTTGTGAATTTTTTTTATTCGTTATTGAAAATGGGTCGCGGTAAAGCAACTCCAAAAAAATTAGCGATTTGATCATAAACAAATATAAACACAAACATAAGTTTCCTAATAAATATCTGAAATAAAATTATGAAAAGGCCGAACATATAGTGGTTAGGGCTCGTAGATTCTTCTTCTAGCTGGGAACTTGTAAGTAAGTATATCTTTATCTATGTCTTAAATTTTGGGTTATTTTTAATCTAATAGGAAGAGAAACAATTATATCGTTTTAACTAAATCAAGTAGCTATTTAAATTTCCATAATACAAAAGTAGCAATTTCAACATTGGTCTCTCTTGAACTCAGTATTACCATTGAGTGTATTACGTAAGTCAAAACGTCTACATAGATCCACATGACCGATATAACAACAAGATCGTGACGCAATCAGCTGATCGCTCATTCCTGCTTACCTATTTTCGACAAACTGGCGCAAAAAATCCATAAAGCGATGATGAACGGCGTTTCGACTCTATAGAACGACACCGATATTATCGGGTACCGAATCACCTCTTTTTTACCCTGCGTTTTTTCGGTAGGTACCACCTTCCGTACGTTCTTTTCCTGCTGTCGGATCGTATTGTCGAATCGTTCGGTATTATCCTGGACTGGTACGGCATTCCTGCTATTACCGCCGTCCCCTGGGGTAGCGGCGGAGGGCGTCGAGATGGTCTTGTACAGAGCCTCGAAATCGTACGAATTGGTGTCGAGGTTGCCTTGCGAAGGCTTGCCGTGCCTGTGACTGTCCGAGGCATGATCCGGCGGTTTAGCTCGGCCGCCACCCAACAACAATAACAACAACAACACGTGGCTAACGGTCTTGCATGCCCGCCTCGAAAGGTTGACGGCGTGCCGCAGGGAATACATCACATATGGGAAACGCGACGCGAATTGACTGCCATAGGGCAGTCGGTGGCAGGTTGCGAGCACCTGACTACTGACTGAATGGGACTCTGAAGGTGACTGGGGATGTAGATGTAGGAACTCGTGTAGGAAGTTCGAACATTAGTCGATCGGGGGTTGTGATGACGCCGACGCGCCGATTTGGGGGGCGCAGGCGCCTTAGGGGATGCGACAGATCGGCTATTATATGTACCTACATAGGGGAGAGTGGGTACGAATGGGTCGTTTTTTTATTGGCCAGTCGTCAGTTCGCCAACAATTAAGTTTTTTAGAAAATTAATTGCTATAGAGAAATGCTATTTATATTATTTATTATAAGGGTGTCCCAAAAAATAGGCCAATCCGTTAACCATAGAATACTTAGGTCAATGTAAAGAAACCACTATTATATTTTTTTTCCATTGTGGTCATCATGTTCAATATACTGGGTGACAAAGTTAATTTTAAAAAATACATTTTTCATTAAATTTTCCTCGTTATATTAAGTAAATGGCTTAAAATTGGTAAATTGATGTTTTTTGGGATGCCAAATTATAATTTACCCAAATATCACCTACCTTATAAAGGGCGCTAGTAGCAAATCACCCTGTATATTGAACATGATGGTCCCAATCGAAAAAAAAAATAATAGTGGTTTCTTACACTGACCTAAGGAATCTATGGTTAACGAATTGGCCTACTTTGTTGGGACATATATAAAATATAATCAAATCATAGAGTTATAAGGTAGGGAGACGCTATAAGTATCTTTTTCAAACATTTGGCGTAGATATTGTCAACCCGATATGGCCGATCCGCCAGATACAGACTTTTCTGAATGTAACCCAAATCTACATTTTTATTTTTTTTATTTTTTGTTTAGAAAATGTAACCGCAATATTTATTAATTGTTATAAAATGGATGATTAAGGTCATAAAAACTATTTTTTTGTAATTCCACCGAGAATTCCACTTATTGATAAAATAAGTTTCATGAATAAAAAATGTGTAAGTGGAAGATAGTATTTTATATAATAATAGAGTCTAGAAATTTCATTCAATATATTATGGTTTAACATAACTGTTATTTTAGACCGAAACTGATATAACATAGAATAATCAAACAGTTGGTAGGTATTAATTGAAAATATATTATGGCAAAATAACAAATAATATAAATATTATGTTTATATTGGCCATTACAAAATACAATTTTATTGTTATGATGTCTTATGGTATCACATTTTTTAATTTTATTTTTAATGAAGTAAAACATCCTAATGTTTGTATATTTGTTAGGTTATACAAGGGATGCTGATCAAAACTGTATAATTTGCAAATATGTTTTAATTTATAAATGACTTGTAGCACTGATCACACTACACATTTTACTATTATGCTTCACATCCTTGTTAGTGGAAATAAAGATAACCATGTAGTATACCTATGTTACGCCGCTGACCCACATGTTCAGATTAAAGATTTTACGTTACTCTCTATCGCTGCCTGCTTAGATTACCCATTACCAATTGTTGTGTCGCATGATTCACATCGTTTAAATCGGACCACATTCCAATTATAAAAACATGGATAAAAACTATCGAAAACGAAAATCGTCTCAGAAATACGATAAATTAAAAAAGAAATGAAGAAATTCAGACCACAGGTAGGAAAATAATGTTTTTCTTTTTATTTAACTGATTTTTAGCTTGCAGAAGATACTACTTTATGTGTAAATTTCTGCATTTAGACGACAAATAAATATACAGATACTACTTTATGTGTTAACGGTGCACTCATTCATAAAATTCGTCTGCAAAACGAAAAATGCTACTTAATGTGCAAATTTCGGAAAACTTTGATGATGGCAGATACTACTTTATGTGTAAATTCTGCATTATAGACAGAGACATGTACAGATGAGGCTACTTTATGTGTTAACTTCGATCTTATACTAGTACAGGTTTGAAAATGGTTTTCTTCATAATTTAATTGATTTTTAGCTTGCAGAAGATACTGCTTTACTATAAATTTCCGAATTTAGACGACATATAAATAAGCAGAAGATACATGATTCATATAAGCCTTATGCAGAGCGAAAAATGCGACTTTATGTGCAAATTTTGCAAAACTTTTGTGCCGGAAGATACTACTTTATGTGTAAATTCTGCAAATAACAACTGTACAGAGGAGGCTACTTTATGTGTTAACTCTGATCTTATATTTATAAACTGCAAACTCGGCTAACTGCAACTCGAAAAATGCTACTTAATGTGTAAATTTTGTAAAACTTTGGTCGAGAAGATACTATTTTATGTGTAACTTATTTAAGCCAAATAAATGTACAGAGAAGGCTACTTTATGTGTTAACTCTGATCTCATACTTATAAACTGCAACTCGAAAAATGCTATTTAATGTGTAAATGTTGTAAAACTTTGGTTAAGAAGATACTATTTTATGTACCTACTAACTCTGATCTTATACTTATAAACTTTGCTAATTGTAACGCAAAAAATGCCTCTTAATGTGTAATGTTTGTAAAACTTTGGTCGAGAAGACACTATTTTATGTGTAAATTCTGCATTTAAGCCAAATAAATATGCAGAGAAAGCTATTTTATGTGTTCACTCTGATCTTATACTTATAAACTGCAAACTCGGCTAACCGCACCGCGAATAATTCTACTTAATGTGTAAATTTCGCAAAACTTTGGTCACAAAACATAATATTTCATATGAAAATTCTGCATTATAAACAAATAAATGTACAAACGAGGCTGCTTTATGTATTAAAGCTGATCTTATACTTATAAGATGCTAGCCCGGCTAACCGCTATGCGAAAAATGCTACTTTAAGTATAAACTTCAAAAAACTTGGAAACAGAATGTAGGTACTATGTAAATTCTGCATTATAGACAAATAAATATCTGGTAACTCTGGTCTTACGCTTATAAAATGTATGGACGCAAAAATGCTACGCAAAGCTCATTGATTATATTACTTTATGGGTAAATCCTACACCTAAAAAAAATGCCCCTTTATGTGCCATTGATTAAATATAGATTTAAGTTGATTCAGAATCTAAGAGGTATATACATTAAACTCGTCATCTTCACCAGAACAGACGTTCGAATAGTAAGGATCAAATTCAGTATCAGGATATTCTGAGAGCGGATCCTAATAGCAACATCTCTCTCGGAAAACCAATCAACGAAGAAATGGTAAAAAGTTGGGAAAATATTTGCAAGACGGTTTGGAGAATGGCAAAATATCAAAGTTTCTTTGCGAAATCAAAATCTAGAATACTTCCACTTGGGTCCCCCACCTTAAACTCCGAACCAAAAAGTTTAGTGACTAGTCACGTCATCAAATAAAACCGACAGCTATTTATATATGCTGCAAGACCAACTTGAAAGGTGATGGGAAGTTTAAATGAACCTCTGTAAGCTAGGCTTGGAGGGAACAGAAATAGACGCATCAAAACAAATGCAAATGTAACAAAAGTATATCAGACATCTACCATAGAATATATTCACCTTATATATCCGTCTTTAAACACAAATGTGAAAAATATGATAGAAAAAGCAGATATCGATGGTTTTTTTCATTTTGGAAAGAATCTTGTAGAGATATGGAAGTCAGACAAAGCATTTGAAAAAACTAGCATGCATTTAATTTAAAGGCACCAACTAAAAGCAAACAATAATTTCAATCAGTCTTTAAACTTCAGGCGTCTACTTTTAAAAAGCGACTGAAGAAAACCAGGCCAGAAAAAGAGCAGGAGAAATACAAATTCCAAAGGACGAACTAATAAGTATTCAGAAAAACAGAGAGGGAAGAAGGAGTTTTTAGGGAAAGAAATAAAGGTAAGAGAGATTGCTGGTAGACTGAAAAAATGTGTAAAACATGTGGGCCAACTTAACTTAATAAGAAGGTCCTAAGATATGTTAAAGGTTTTAAATTAATTTTTAAAACACAAAAGAGCTTTCACAAAAGTATGTTTTCTCTTAGAGAAAAAACTAATCTACACACTTCAATTAAAAAAAAAAATTGTACTAAAGAAAGCAACGAAGTTTGTTTGCTAAAGAAAATTAGTTTAGTTCTCATATTTTTTAAGACCCAAATGAAATAATTCATCTTTAACAAATATATAGATTCTCGCTTTTCAAACTGGAAGATCTCAGGTCTGCCCAGAATATTTTGTTATAGGACAACGTTGTCAAAAATTAAATTAAAGAATGCCTCTTATCTCATCTCGATACCTAAAAAATCAGGAAAGTACTTGAAAAAAAAATAATAATAATTTGACTGTCTTACATTTGGTTTGACCGTTTGCTCCATATGTTTTTGCAAACACTTTAAAACCGGTAGTGCATCAACTAAGGCTTTTGGAAATAACCTTAATGATTTCCTAATTACATCTAAATCTAGTGATGAATGTCTCAAACATTGTAATACAACCGTTAATTATTTACAATCTCTATGACTCATCATAAAAAAAAAGTGTTTTTATGTAAAGTGTGCGATAACTCGACTGTTGCGTAGCTGATGCATTTCTTGTATAAGTACTAAAATTTGAAAGACCAAGCAGAATGCATAGTGATTGTACCAAAATGGGACATTCAACCATCCCATGTTACAAAATAAATAAATGCATTTTAAGGTACAAGTCAACATTAAACCTAGTTATTCACTGCAGCAAACCTTCATTTAGAACTCCTTATAACCGTTCTGCCTAGCTGTCATTATAAATAGTCCCTAACTTTCATTATAGAAATTCTGAATAATAAAAGAAAATGTATATTAGGAAATTTATAAAAGGGCCATCCTGTCTTGCCAAAATGTATTCAAACTTGAGACCAAAACACAGTTTTAAAATACTTCAATATTTTCATTCACTTGAAAAACTTAAAACAGCTAAGAGCCAAACTTGTTATGCTTGCAGCCCAACGGGTATAGACTTTCTCAAAATGTCAAGTTAACAATATACAAATTTGCATTGACGAAATGCTCAAACTTCGACTCCACAACGAGCCCAGCCTTTATTAATAAATAAATTAGTATTTTCATTCTCTCACGAATTACCTCAATTTACGCTCGGCAAAAACAATTTTTATTTTATGAAAAAAAAAA